GACCTTTTGACCCTTTCATCGAGTATTAAAAAAATAAAGCATTACCTACAAAATACACAACTAATAAAAATAAGTAACTTGTTATAATGGAAGACTATTCTGATTATTGTTCTGCGTATGAAGGTCTAGAAGAAGAAAGTTGGAGTACTGATCTGAATGATCAGGAATTCATGTTTATTCATGATTTTTTGGCCGCAACTAGAGCAAAAAAATTACTAGAAGATCAAGTAATGCAAGATGAAGATAATGATATCGAAGATATATTATCTGAGGATGATGATGACGATGATGATGACATGAATTGTGATGAAGTTCTAGAAAATACAACCAAAAAACTGTCACTTTGCGTTATCATTGATAATTTAAGTAGAGTAATTAGATGTTGCAATTCAGTAGATTCTCTAGTCTCTTTGGCGCAATTAGTCAGAACATGGGAAATAGAATTAACTTCAGAAGAATCTTTAAATTTAACTGAATTGGGAGTTTGTTCGAATCATTTCAACTTCGATCATGGGCAACTTCACTCATCTGGTACTAAAACATTAAGACGTTATACTAAAAGTTTAGTTTATAAAAAAAAGTGCTTACTTTGTAACGAATATAAAAGGTTCTTTAGCCGAGGTAGTGATTGTATAGAACATTGCTGGAATGTATGCAAGAGAGATGTTCAGGTCCCGTGTCTTGGTTTAAAATCATGCCCAGTATTTCATAGAATTCCAAATATTACTTCGAGGCTTACTATTAATGATAGACATGTTAGATATATTTGTACAAAATGCTTCGAAAAACATGGTGGACATCTTCATAAACGTGTGGGACCCAGAAAGTCTCAAACATGTATCGATAATCAATTGCATGTAGAAGATACTAACCGTATTTTAAGGATTTTCTCATCTTGGTTGTTTAACCTCTCGCATTCTCAAAACGAAAATAAAAAAGAAGAAGTATTACAGCATATTATAAAATTATTGGAAAACCCGAGATCATCTTTATCATCTTCGATAAATACAGAGTTTGATTTACCTAGCCCATTGCTTGTAACAATTGCCATGAAAATTAAGAAGTTTGATTATTATTCGCCTACAGATAAAAAGCTTGTAAAAGTAGAAGAATGCCGTCAATTTGGAGAAATGTTGGGAAATACGATATGTAATTCACGTAAAGATATTGAAAAAAATCATGATAAATTAGAAAACTCCTCCTCATTAAATGAATATTATAACAATTTTTTTTCAGTCCTTATTGGTTTTTTTGATGGATTAATCGAATCTATTGAAAGACGAAAATATGAAGTAAGAAAAAAGAAAAATAGACAACGTGGAAAAAAAGAACCTGAATTTAATAAAATTGCTATAAAAAAGATTAAACATTTTTTGCATCTATTATTTTAACAATAGCGTTTCGTTCATAGAAAATATGGCTTTCTTATACTATGGCTTCTTTATATAAAAAGCCTAAATTAATATCTTCTCTGCAAGCTATATTGCATACGGTATATATTACATCTTATACCTAGAAACACGAAACAAGACTAGAAAAAGAGTGTATAAACAAATCTAATCCTTTGACAAGATTAATCAAAAGTCCGAATATATGGAACGTTGCTGTAATTGATAATATTGACTTCAAGGATATTGTTTTTAAGTATGGAAATATATATAATATTACGTGGCAATCTACACATGCCACTCTAAGAATGGTGTTTCAATTTGAACTTCTATTCAATTTCTCGTCTCTTGCTCAAGGAAATCCAAAACCTCAACAAAATTTATTTAGTCAAACAGTATTTACATCTAACTGAGATGAGAATTTTGATAAAATAATATAAAATAATAAAACAATTACTATGTAGGTATAATAAAAATTTTGGAATTGAAAAAATGAACGTTGAAATACTTACTACAGTCAACTCAGAGTGTTGAGTAAATCCACCAAACGTCATTATATTAGAACCCGGACCAGCACCTAATAGTAATGAAGCTGTGTTTAAATCAATCGATATGTATTTAGAAGACCTTGAACAAAATGTTGTTGATTTAGCATGCGATGCAGCTATTTTTACAAGAACAAAAAAATATACAAATAGCAACTTAACTTGTAGATTTATTCTCGGACAATGGCATACTTCAAAGGTCATGTGCAGTGCTTTAATTGCAGCATTTAGTGGATATGGTATTTACAGCATAGCGGCAAAGCTTGGCGTCAAATTTCTTGACAAATTAGAGCAAAACGTTGATTATCGTGCAACTTGTAGAGTATTGGAATTAATTCATACTGCTATGGAAATAGCAATTTGCCTTCATTTAAATAATAACAATATATCATTAGATACAGAAACTATATTTCGAGGAGATAACAATATTCTAAAAGTATGGTATTTGTATTACCGTTTAGCTAGATATTGGAAGGCTCATCATATCGGTATTCGCTTAGGCAATGCAGATATGCAGTTAAAAAGCTTGGCGATATTCGCACCACTATTTCCTGCTACTGGTAAAAATATTTATACATCGTCAGTTGTAACTTTTTTAGAATCAGTGTCACGTAATCCACAGCAATATGAACTATTTAAGCACATTGCTTCAGTAAATATTACAAAAGAAAACCACTACTTAGCTTATGATGAAGCCTTGGAGCAATATGGTGTTAAATTTGTCAAGCAAAATTTAACTTCTGGTTTATCAGATCCAGACACTCTCAAACAAAAAATAACAGCGATCCAAGATGAACGTGAAAGACTATTGTTGTTGTATGATGAGTTTGTAGAAGATAATAAAGTTAATACAGGAAATCGAGTGGTTAAAAAATATACTGAAGCTTTGTAGCAACTTGTTGATGAACTTACCTTCGCATTTTATTTTCCTGATCCCACGCAGCATGATCTTTTTAAGCATGCGCAAGAAATAAATAACGAAGGTTATACACGAATGTTCAATTTTTACAAAAATGGTCTTGTTCGATTATATAATATTTTGCAAGATGTTTATAAAATTAAGGAACCAGTTTTAAAAGGAAGACGAGTTAAAGAATTAGTTAATGTTTCGGCTAAACAATATTTACTAGCTAAAAAAAATTGAGTTTCTGTCTTACCCGTTCTTGTTAATTTCTATGTTGAATGATTTTCTACTATATAGAAATATAGCAAAAATCTTTGATCTATTGTACTAGAAAATTTTAATAATAAAATTTAAATTTTGTTCAAAATAACCATGAAGTTTACTACTTATACTTGCCTGATCCGTTAAAAAAAACTGAATAGCTTCTCTTCCCGAAAGTAATGCGGGCAATAAATATAAAAATAATACAAGTTTTCTGATCTGAAATATATAAAAAAAATAAAATAAAAAACTAAGTAAAAAAGCTATTGGTAAATATATTAGAGCACGTAAAACAAGTCTTATTAGAATAAAAAAGTCGAATAATTAGAAGGTTTTGCAAGTTTTCTTATAACGATCCATATAGTTAGTATAAAAATTTTTGTGTAACAGTATTATGTAAAATCGATCTGCGGGACATATTCCCTGACTGATAGTAATTTTGTTGGCGCACCTGGGGAAGTTCCAATAGAATTGTTTATTTTGATTGACACGGATCAGCCCGAAGAGACAAAAAACAGCGAAAAAAAGTGAAAATCGCAAAAAATACAAGAAACGATAGTCTAAACCCATCTTGGTGCATTAATAAAAAATGTCGGGAAGACAATTTTACTATAAAACATGCCCTGACCCTAACTCCAAACTAACCCTTACCCTAAATTTAATTAAAAACAAAAAACATGTGACTGGACACGGCTTTAGACATCCCCCAAATTAGGGATCCCTAATTTCTCCCCACAGTTCTGATTGGACATTTGTAAATTCCATCTCTAACTGGACAAAGTAAATTACGCCACTCTTCGTCTACCAATCAAATTATGAGATCAGGTGTAACATAAAATTTTCAAAAAAAGTCGAAGTTTTTCAAAAATCGTCAGTAGCTTAAAATTTTGGTTACAAAACCACCTTTTGTATTCTAACAAAAAAAATTCCTTGCAAAATTTTAGTATAGTATATATCTATTAGACCTTTATACTGTTTCAATGATACTTCCATTATTTGATCGATTTTTCTTCGTCCAATAGGAACTATGGGGAGAAATTAGTAAACCCCCAAATTAGGAAGTAACTCCGTTATGAGGCCTTAGTTGTAACTTATGTGAGTTAGAATCCCGGTCAGGCCTAAAACAGGTTAGACCTTACTGGGTCACAGATAAAAAAGTAGTCTGAACCCGTCCAATAGTTGCTTAATTATATTATATCGTAAAAAATGTATCTATAATTACAGATATTAATAAAGGTACAGAGGGTATCGCCTCGCTTTCAAAACAAAAAAAAAAAATTCTTGATACTAACGCCTATGCTCTTTAGTCGTCACTCCGGGTCAGGGACGATGATTTTCTGCGTTTCACGGAATCAGGCAGAATTCACACTCATGGTATAATATTCATATGATTTGCTAATTCATGTCAATAAAACGTGATCATTGGCCAATCAAATCAATAGTCAAGTGATTATCATTCTACTTATCATGAAAAAAATTCAATAGTAATTATACAAAACTGAAAAAACTTGTAGGGCAAAGCTTTTCCAAACATAATTAGTAATCGACAAAATCTATTAGAAGATTCTTTACAAAATTTAAATATATTATATTTTAATATTAAAATTCAAATTTGATTATATTTTCTTTTAATAAAAAATTACAAAAATGCAAAATTATTATGCACGGAAATTTTGCAGAATTTGAATTTGTCACGGACGGAATTGGCTACTTATTGCCGCAGAAAATCATCGTCCCTGCTCCGGGTACTGTATGCAACGGGAAACTGTAAACAAATATAAATTTATTATCTATGCGTTCTATATAAATGTTTTCACGTCACGTATTATACTCAACATAAATTACAAATTATTAAACCATCTAATACAATACATAGACCATATTTGATTATTATTTAAAACGTTATATCCATCCGTCTATAATTTTTGCAATGCTTAATGCAGTACTCAACACCATCACCAAAAAACCAAAAATCACACATGATATTGCAGGTAATTTATTGAAAGTCCATAATTCGCCTGAAGATAGTTTTAAATAGCATGCTGGAGGTAGAATGTAAGCTAATGCCGTTGCAGAAAATCCACCAGTAAGCTCAAGTACTGTACCAAGAGAGTCTGTCAAGAGAGAAATGGCCATAGCACCTCCAACAAGAAGGGTGGTTATACCTACATGCCGTAGCCAACTAAATTGTTCACTAGGAAAATAATAGTTAGTGATCACCTGAAAAAAACACATCAATATTATTAAATAAAATAAAATGAATAAATTAGAGATTCTTCTACTATAATGTAAGTTATTATACCTCTCTGCACACAAACAATTCTAACGGTAATGTAGTAAACATATTGAATCCAAAACAAAAGCGAGCTACGTTTATAATAACATCATTGCCTGGAAAGTTGTTCAGAATGTTACCTGGTGTAAAATAAATAAATAAATAAAACTAGACATAAAATAATAGCAGTAAAATGCAACATTTAGAGTTTTGAATACCTTGCGTTTTATCAGTGAATACTAAATATCCAGTTAATGCCATTAACATGCATGCTACCATGGATACAAAAGTTGATAAATGAGTAACTGCTGCAAACCGACTCATAGTGGGCTTGTACAACGCATCAAAAATAAGTAAACTATTGTGGTGGCAAACAAATGCTAGGGAAATAATGAAATATAATGTTAAAAAATAATCAAGCTATTAATTTTCCAAATTAACTAACATATACAATATTACCAAAACTGATAACACCAATCGACTGAACAAATACATTTTAATAATAAATATATAAAGATATGTTATCTCATTAGCCCAAGCGACAAAAAAATATTATAAAAAGTAAAGCACCTGAAAAACTTCTGGATGTATAAAATCCCATTTTCCTATCTCTGAGCCTCTGAGAGATGAGTCTACTAAAGGACCCTCTATAGCAACACAAACTACAATAATGACCATAGAGATCAAGGCCAAACCACTTGCTTTAGCCAATTTGGAAATGTCTCGATAAAGAGCCAATGGGTAGGACACGAAAACAGTGCACATGATGATTACAAAATTTCGTTGTCCGAAGAGAAAGAGAACCGGCACATCAGTTATACCAGGAAAGATAGATTTTATGACCTCAGGAATCGTATCACCTGTAATCTTTTACTGATTAATTTTTTTGAATAAAATCAAAGACCATTATTTAGTGCTTACCTATAATGACGCAAAAAGCACACATCCCTGGGTAACGAGAGTTCACACTGATCATAAGTATTATGTAATCAGAATTTGATATAGCTACGAATCTTAATATAAAAAACAGAAAACATTACCTCCAAAAGCGAATGCAAATTGGAATAATGATATAGCTATCATCCCACTTTTTCCAAAACAAAAGTACATTATGTCTTGATAAGTACTTCTTCCAGATAGTTTTGAATTCAGTACTAAAAGTCTAATTGTCCAGTCTACTGTTATGGTAAGAACAACTAATAATATCATCCCCATAAATATCCCAGCTTCTAGGAAAGAATACGGAAGACCTAAAGTATATAACAGTGTAAGTTTAAATGTAGCTTTTGCACTGACTTAATGTTACAATACTTACCGATTATGCCTGTTTTCAAAAAAAAAGTATAGGATTTAATAATAAATGTGATATAAGTAATATACAGCCAACTCTCTTTATAACGGATCTTATAGGAAAAATGTTTATAAGTTCCTTATAGAATAATTCACTATATTTCTATACATAACTCTATAATAATATTTCTAAAAAAGTCTGTTATAGAGTAGGTCCGTTATATCCAGAGTCGATTGCAATTGTGTATAAGGTTTTTTTTTTCAAATATAAACTTACCAGCACCAATAATACTATTCGCCATATTCAAAAAACTAGTGAACACCGATCCACCATCATGTGGCATTCTCATCTCTATGACACTTTCTAAATTCTCATCGTTGGATGCTTCATCAATCACTGAAATTCCTTCATTACCAGAGTTATCCGATAATAGCGGTGCATTCATCATGTCGTCTTCGGTATAATTATCTTCCTCTTTGGACTTTTTTAGTCCAAATGAAGTATATTTAAGTGAAATAGACTCATTGGTTCTAGAATTTTTAGCCATAATTTAAACAAGTTTGAAGTAAATAATAACACTAAAATCAAGAATTAAAAAGAAGAAAAAAAAAAAAATAAGAAAAACAAAACAAAAAGTAAGAGAAACAATAACAAGCTTTATTTGCGAATATCGATTTTGTACATGTAACGTTTGGTGATCGACAATTTATTATTGGTGGCAAAGCATATTAGTGGCTAAATGCATGCGTAATGTATATCAATTGAAATAAAGGCCACTCACTTCATGTGAATAACGAAAACGTTTACTTAAAATCTAATATGCTACGTACAGTACATACCATGAAGCTTTCGGAATTTGTTATTGAATAGTTATATAGTACGTAACCGAATCATTTATTAATCATAATATTATATTTTTGATGTATATACATATGTAGATATAGTAGATATTTACATATATATATTTACAAATAAAAAGTTCAGCCCTGAGGCTCATTTTTGATAAATAAAAAACAAAAACGACCTAGTGCAGAGCCTTTCAGTGTAAGAGATTATTATTTAAAACGCGCGAACGTGTACACTTGATAAATTTTTTAATCGATATTCAAATTTCAATAATATTAATCATAATCATTTGGGATCTGTAACAAAATGACGAATTTCGTATAGTAAAAAATTTTTAAAAATTCTTTATATAGTACTATCGTTATATAGTAATTTACCATGTTCCTATACCGAACTCTATAATAAAATTTTTTTTTCAAAAAAAAGTTGGTTATAGAGCAGGTTTGTTAC